GTGTGTGTGTGTGTGTGCATGAGAGAGAGAGAGAGAAAGAGGGAATGTACGTAAGCGTGTGTCCATGTACGGATACACTGACTACTGAGAAAAGCCATTAAAAAAGGAAATGAAACGCTCAATTGAACAAAAAGAAAAATTCCTCAGTGTAAGATATGTCTAAAATCATTTTTTTCCGGAATATTCCCGCTGTCAAAAACATGGATGAACACATTCTACGAGATCAACCAAAGATTGACATAGAAATGGAGATTGGGGCTTCATTCGAAAGACTGTGGCGAAACAAACGATAACTTAATGCCGATTTTAGATTTAAAAAAAAATATATATATATAAGTCGAATGTAAACTAAAGCAATATCACTAAACGAAGTGAACCCAGAAATTATTTTGCGACAACCATTCTCTAAATATCCGAGTAAATAATACTATAGAGATCTTAAAATGTAAGAAAATATGTATATAAAGAATAGACGAAATCTGGAGGAAAACCACAACGCTTACTAATTAACCCATAGCTGGGAGGGAAAAAAGATGGATGAATCCATCTTTTTCCCCTCCCAGCTATGGATGAATCCATCTTTTTCTCCTCCCAACTATGGGTACTGCCTCTTAATCTCTGAAAAAACAGTATAACTTAATAAAACCAAAATTTTAACGTCAAAATCTTTATGTTATTATTAAGAGGAAAAATCAAAGTATTTTTTGATTATTTATTACATTTTTTAATCCTTTCTAGCGAGTTCGAATTTTGGTGAAAAATCTTGTTTTTTTTTTTTTTCGTCGGTAGTCGACGTAATAATTATCATTAGTTTTCTAAGCGCCTTTATTTAGTTGAAAAACACATTGATTTGGAAATTCTTACAAAAATCAAATATTTGTCCAATTTTAATGAAACGTTTAGGATTCAGAAATGAATGAAATTGTTTTGGAATATTTTGGAAAAAAATCTTGGTAAAAATATTTTTGTTACATATGTGTTACACCCCACTTATATAATTTCAGGAAATTAAATTTTCATCGACAAATTTTTTTGTTAGTTAAAAGCAGGGCTCTTTGGAGAGTATAAATAACCTATTTTTCTTTTCAAACTACTAATCATTACCCGAAAATCTGCTCTGAATCGTAAAATAAAAAATGCTGTAAAACTATGACATTATTTAATTAGAAAAGCTCTTAATTGCTTTTATAAATAAGATTTATTAAGGACACCAAAGTCGTAAGAAAAACATTTTTTTTTTTTTATGAATAATGAATTTGACTAGAATTGTTTTCATTTTTGTTTCATATTAATTATAATAATTTATAATATATAAATCGTATAAAATTTTGCATTATTTTCATCTGGTTAGGTGATATTTTTATAAAGTAAAAACTACGTTTACTAATCAAAAATTAAAAAGCTTAATAAAAATCATTTTGCACCATGATTTTTTTTTATGTATAAAAAATATTATGTAAGGTGAACATTTTTGAAAGTATTGCCAGCCATACAAAACATAATAAGAAAATAAAAGCGATGGCTATAGTAAATTTAAAGTCAGCATATCCAAAAACAGATTTAGGAGAATATTTTTAGTACAGTGTAACCCGGATGTAAGAGAGTTGGCGGGACCGGAGACGAAGTCTCTTATATCCGGGTTTCTCTTATATCCGGGTTTTGGTCTATTTTATATACATTAGCACAGGCTCTAATTTGGGACCAGAGACAATCTCTCTTATATCCGGGTTTCTCTTATATCCGGGTCTCTTATATCCGGGTTACACCGTGCAAGGATTTTCTTTTCTGCACACAAAGTGTGTAAAAACTGTCCAAGGTTCCGAGCCCTTTCACCTATTCTTTTAGACATTATAAAGGACGATTTTTTTTTTAATTGAATGTCGGGGGGGGTCTTATGTATGTGCCTGAAGTTACAGGAATATTCTATTTTCCAAACACCGTCAGCATATTGCGGCCGTGTTCGTAGTTAATGTTATTAAGTATTGACTATGCCTTGTTTCATTATTAGGGCTCCCATTACTTTTAATTTTTTTACATGTAAATGAGGCTATTATTCGTGCATTTTCTACTGTTTCGGGTGGAGTTTGGTAAATTTTCGTGCCTATTTAAATGAGTCGAAAGTGAGCTATGGTCGGCTAAGTGTAACTTGAGTTGTCTAGATAGGTATGTAGTAGTATAACCAATATAATTATTTATTAGTTTGGTTTCATCAGGAACACAGTTCTTTAAATGGTATTTGAATTCGTAAATATTGGCCTTTTGTTGTTTTGATTTTGAAGGTATGTTTTTTTATTTTATTTTCTATGGTAAGGTTAGCTGTTTTAAATTTTTCGTACTGGTATATATATATATATATATATATCAGAACAAAAAAATTCAATTAAATATCTATATCTATCTATCTATATATATATATATATATATATATATATATATATATATATATATATATATATATATATATATATATATATATATATATAGAGAGAGAGAGAGAGAGAGAGAATTTGAACATATGCTCTATTTATGGATTACAGTAATCAATATCAGGAACAGAGCGTATGTAAAATATAACAGTGCATGGCCTGACGATTGTGTTCAACATGAAACAAACTGTTGCCCATGACTTTTAATACATATATATATATATATATATATATATATATATATATATATATATATATATATATATATATTATATATATATCGTTTATATATTATATATGCACGGTACTTATTGGAAAGCGCTCAATATCAGTGATAGAGCTATATAGATATATGTGTGTGTGTGAAATGTTTATGTATATAAATATATATCTATATATATATATATATATATGTGTGTGTGTGTGTGTGTGTGTGTGTGTGTGTGTGTGTGTGCAATTTTTATATATATTATTTATATCAGTGAGAGCTAACATATTTAGTTGGATTGATGTGAGTTTGTGTCCCTGGGTTTCACGCCATCTGCGATCGTCAGAAAGGTGAAACCCATGGTCACAAATTCACATCAATTCAATTATATATATATATATATATATATATATATATATATATATATTCATTTTTATTTTCAGTGTGATCTTTTAAAGCAATGTTTGATCAAGGTGACTCCTCTTCAAATTTTTGTTCACATGACAAGCAATGAACAAGTAGATTACTGTGTCCTTCGAATCGATTTCTGCCATTATTATTAAATATTTTAGGGCCCTGTGCTTGCAATTCATACCAAAATTACTCAAATCAGAACTTTCTTTGGTGTTAACTGACAAAGATAATTTGGAATGCTGCGTGAAAAATCAGAAAAATTTGATATGCCACTTGATAGATTCTATGGAGTAAAAAATTTGCGGGCTATTCAAACGAATGGGAATTTAAATAAAAATCTATGAATTATTTCTTGCAGCGGCCGTAACCGTGGGTAGGTGAAACCTCGATAACCGAAACCGTGGATAAATAGTTACCAGTATATTTAAATGAGTCATTATTGACGGTGATTTGTGATTGTTTCTTCATGTCTGCCTCTGAAGGTCTTTTGTTGGGCGTAAGCCTTGCACAGATTAATAGGGGAGAAACTGTCCATTACTCTACGGCGCTAGGGTGAGCTGATGCGACACGCCTGGGTGATCATGTCTTCTTTTCGATTCCTGACCACCTATAGCATGAATCGAAAGATATTTTCGCGTAAGTAAATTTGACGAACCCGATTGGAATTCGAACTCGACACTCCGATTTCTCACCCCGAGTCGTTATCCATTACGTCAGAGCTCACAGCACCTACTATTCCAAAGCGGACACCCATCTAAGTACTGGCCAAGCTAGGCGCTGTTTAACTTCGGTAATTGGGCGAGATATGACAGTAAGCTTGTTGAATGTTTCAGGAAGATACAAATTCTGCTGCCTTAGGCTCTAATTGTAAGCAAAGTTTATAAGTTTCCATTGAGTAACTCTAAATCCCTTATCGGTAGTTTGCGTAAGAGGCCCGGGGCCAGTTTTATCACGAAGTTGCTGAATGCCGAAAAATAGGAAAAGAGTCGTGGTATCTTTAATACAGAACACAAAAGCTGGATTCGGAATTTTCCTGTCATTAATACAACAATAAAACCGGAGATTAACTTGTTAGAGGTTTAAATATGCAAACGCAGATCTCCTGTGCCTTTGAGAATATCGGCAAGATGCAAACTTCATAGAAGCAAGTTTATGTCTTAAGAATATACACCCGGGGTGTTGATTTTGTGTGACGCACTGTTAATAGTTAAAAGATTGCAACTAAAATCTCTTTGCCTGGTGTTTAAGCCAGGATTGTTTCGAGATTAAACGTAAAACTGCTTTTTACTGGTTAGTACATTACTTTTAAGACCATCGGGAAAACGTCTGGAAAAACAACTGACTAATTAACACCGACAGAAGAGAGATAAAATAATTTTATATTAATTTTCAACGCCCACGTGACACTCAAATTAGACAGGTTGTCTGTGGCATTGATGGGCGTAAGAAAGAAAGAGCAGGAAGTGAAATTCACGTGACTCGGCAGGAAAGATAGCGATTAACCCTAGACATGAAGAGTTCAAGAGTGTAGTGATTTGGAAAACTCCCTGCCGGGGGTGGGGGCGTCACAAAGCAGCAGTTTTTAGGAAGAATCTGTCTGAATGGAACTAACATCTTGTTGTAGAGTAGTTTTCAGAGTGGGGGCTTGTATTTCACTAAGTCAGTCCTAAAAGGGTTCGACGTACAAAACGTTAGGAACTTGAAAATAATAGTTAATGACGCAGCAATCTAGTTGTGGTGGTTGATACTTTAATGTCCGACATCGACTGACACACCAAGTCTACTGATCCCCCTGGCGACTGCTACTCTTACTACTTATTATGTCTGGGAGAGTCTATTAACAATAGAATAGGTATGTTCCGGTATAACACATCTTTACTTTTGTTTTATCAGATTATGGCAACTTTATGTATAACCTAAACTCAAACACACGCGCACGAACACCTACACACGTATAGTGTGAGAATCATGCATAGATAGATAGATAGATAGATAGATAGATAGATAGATAGATAGATAGATAGATGCATGTGTGTGTGTGTGTGAGAGAGAGAGAGAGAGAGAGAGAAGTGTACGTGTGCGTGTATCCATGTATGTGTCTATGCAAGAAATGCACTGCCTAACGAGTAAAGCCATTAGAAAAAAACGGGAAATGAAACGCTCAATTGAACATGTTCTCCATCTCGGTGCAAGATATGTCTAAAATCATTTTTTCCAGAATATTCCCGCTGTCAAAAACATGGATGAACACATTCTACGAGATCAACCAAAGATTAACGCACAAATGGATACTGGGGCTTCTTTCGAAAGACTGTGGCGAAACAGACGATAACTTAATGCCGATTTTTGATAAAAAAAAATATAAGTCGAATGTAAACTAAAGCAATAACACTGAGCGAAGTGAACCCAGAAATTATTTTGCGATAACCATTCTCTAAATATCCGAGTAAATAATACTATAGAGATCTTTAAAATATAAGAAAATATGTATATAAAGAATAGACAAAATCCTAAGTAAAACCACAACGCTTACTAATTAACCCATAGCTGGGAGGAGAAAAAAGTTGGATTCATACCTTTATAGGCATCGCCACTTTTTCATTGAAAAAACAGTATAGCATAATGAAAAGAGGCCCCAACTTAATAAAAACCAAGTTTTATCGTCAAAATCTTTATATTATTATTAAAAGGAAAAACCGAAGTATTTTTTGATAATTTATTATTTTTTTCTCACGCACTTCTTAGAGGGACGGGTGGCAGAAAGCCACACGAGGCGGAGCGATAACAGGTCTGTGATGCCCTTAGATGTCCGGGGCCGCACGCGCTACACTGGAGGTATCAGCGGGGGGACTTCGCCCCGGCCCGAGAGGGGTCGGGAAACCTCTTAACCACCTCCGTGATAGGGATCGGGGCCTGTAACCAACCCCGTGAACGAGGAATTCCCGGTAGGCGCGGGTCAACAGCTGCCCTTTGTACACACCGCCCGTCGCTACTACCGATCGAACGGTCCGGTGAGGTCCTCGGATCTGGCCGACGACGCCGCCGGGCAGCGTGCACGTGGCGCAGCGGCTGCGGTCTCCGCCGTATTTATCAAATTGATTATTTATTACATTACGACTCCCCTTCGCTGCCTGACTGTGGCTATTTTATGGCAGCAGGACGAGTCCATTTTATCCGAAAAGGGTGGACCCCATAATACTTTTGTTCGGGTTTTTTTGCATTTACTTTGTTAATATATTCTCAAAACCACTTTTTAATTTTCAGACTAGCTAATTTATTTGTAAATTACCAAAAAAAAACAAAAAACAAAATGGTCATAGCACTTATGAACGAAGCTTATTCGGTGTTAACGTACAGATTGCCGTTCTAACCGCCTGAATCCCCTATAAGGACGGGTTAAGAATGGCGACTTACCACGTTCCATTTGCCGTTCTTTTGCTCTTTCAACATCCAATAAACAACGTAGCCGAATCCTTTGGTACCTAACCTCCTGAATCCCATCTAGGGACGGGTTAAGAAGGGCAACTTACCACGTTCCATTTGCCGTTTTTTCAATTTCCAATAAACAACGTAGCCAAATCCGTTTGTATCTAACCGCCTGAATTCCCTCTAGAGATGCGTAAAGAAGGGCGACTTACCACGTTCCAGTTGACGTTCTGTTTATCTTTTAACATCTAATAGTCAACGTAGCCGAATACATTGGGACCTAACCGCCTGAATTCCCTCTAGAGAAGGGGTTAAGAAGGGCGACCTACCACGTTCCAGTTGCCGTTCTTTTTCTCTTTCAACCTCCAATAAACAACGTAGCCGAATCCGCTGGCTCCTTGCTCTGCTCGGGGTATTCTCTGAAAGATAACGGTTGGGAAAGTTAGTTTGTTTCAGGAATTATTATCATCGAACATTTCCAAACCACCCAAATCCCAACATTTGTTTAAACTCGTTACAGGTTATTTCCTTTACCTTTGTGTCGGAATTTCCTTTAAATCTGTTGTTCTAAAAGTAATAATTTCATATTCATGCAAATATATAATAAAAATAGATATGTCAGTCAGTATGTGATGTGCTACACGCTTTGGCAATCATGTATCTTTCGAGACATGACTGACGAGGCAGGTTTTTTTATTCTTGCAGTAGGTTGACATTTTCTTTTCTGCGGTAAACCAGTTACGATCCAAGGCTATAGAACCCGGTCTGTCCCGTGGGGAGAAGAAGAGGATTCATACCTTTCCCAAGGGTATAAGCACGTAAGTGAATGTAATGGATTTGACTGAAATTCGAACTCGGCTCTCTGATTCCTCAATCAGTTATATGCCATGCGTCACACACGCTTAGGCGATCATGTATCTTTCGATACATGACTGACGACGCAGGTTTTTTTTCCCCCGCGGTAAGTAGCCATTTCTTTCTGTAGTAGACCAATTGCCATCCAAGGCTATAGAACCCGGTCTGTCCTGCTATTTAACTATAGCTGGTGGGGGATAGCAAAGAGAAGATGATTCATACCTTTCCAAAGGGTATTAGCACGTAAGTGAATGTAATGGATTTGACTGGAATTCGAACTCGGCTCTCTGATTTCTTAATAAATTATGCGCCATGCGTGATACACGCTTAGGCGATCATGTATCTTTCCATACATGACTGACGTGGCAGATTTTTTTTCCCGCAATAGGTAGCCATTTCTTTCTGCGGTAGACCAGTTGCTATCCAAGGCTATAGAACCCGGTCTGTCCCGTAGAGACAAGAAGAGGATTCATATATTTCCCGATGGTATTAGAATGGATTCGACTAGAATTCTGTCCTGCTATTTACCCATAGCTGAGGGGAGAAGAAGAGAATTCATACCTTTCCCAAGGGTATTAGCACGTAACTGAATGCAATGGATTTGACTGGAATTCGAACTCGGCACTCTGATTCCTCAATGAGTTAGGTACTATGCGTCATACACACTTAGGAGATCATGTATCTTTTAATACATGACTGACGAGGCAGGTTTTTTCCCCCGCAGTAGATAGCCATTTCTTTCTGCGGTAGACCAGATGCTATCCAAGACTATAAATTCCGGTCTGTCCTGCTATTTGCCCATAGGTGTGGGGGGGGGAGAAGAGGATTCATATTAGATATAGATACATACAATTCCTGCATGTGCGAATCATAAGAAATATACATGTAAATTGTCGATGCTAAATAAATGTGCCTAGAGAATAGAGTTTATCTTTGATTTATTACACGTAGATACAATGGATCGCAATGCGAAATGTCTTTCTTGCTGTTGGTCGCACTAAAAACAAGTTTGAAAAACACTGAAATCTTGGTAATTATCTTCTTATCTGTTTTCGTGTATTTTAGCTGTTCAATGTTTTATTCTGCGCCAGATGAGTAACAAGTATGGGAGTTAACTTTAATCATTTAAAGACGTACAACGTTTCGGCCGTTGTACACTCCGGCCTTCTTCAGACGAACCGAACCCTTTATTTCGCACACTGGGGTAGACTGTTCTAGTCCCACGTGCCATGTTTAATGCCATGGATGTCAGTTATCAGTTATCTCCTGTTAATTTCCCTCTGAAAGTTCTCCACTGCCTTAACCGGGCATTGAACTCACACTCTTTAGGTCCTGTCACTGGATCTAACCAACGCCTTTATCCACTGTGCCATCTGTCCTTGAGGAGAAAGTCCGACAATTATTTTTAAAACATTTTTTGTGTTTATACGTTCTGAGGAAGGACGCATATTTTCTATGAAAATTTCTCGGACATTCAGGCCGGTAAATATCGTTGATACTGTTTATTATAAACAGAGTATTTGTTTAAATATTTGAATCTATAAAAAAAAAATGACCTATAAACATAACAAATGTCTTAAAATAATTGTCGAACATTGTCTATTTCATACTGTGTGACGTGATTTGTTTACATTTGGATACGCATCGAGCAGATATGAATGTACGAGAGAAAATCATGGAGAATTGTAGTTTAAAAACAGTAAAATCAACTTTGCTAACCGAACGCTCCTCTGTGGCGAAATCGGTAAAAGCACGTCAGGCTATATGACGGTTCCGTATAGGATACAGGAGGACGCATATTTTCTATGAAAATTTCTCGGACATTAAGGCCGGTAAATATCGTTAATACTGTTTATTATAAACAGACCATATACTTAAATATTTGTATTTATATATATAAAAAAAAGACCGTATAAACATAAAAAAAATGTTTTAAAATAATTGTAGGACTTTCTCCATTTCATAATGTGTGACATATATATATATATATATATATATATATATATATATGTTTGCATGTATAATATTCTAGTAATCACTTAACTCTGTTAGTTTCGATAATCATAGCTGATTATAAACCAGAAGATTTTGTAAACGAATCATGACCTCAACATTTAAACAATATTACATGTGCCTTTTGTTATTATACAGAATTTGTTTACCTCCCAGGTGATCAGTAATTGGCCAACTTTTCCTCCTCCCCCACCTACGTTGTATGGGGGTCGCAGCGGGGCTGACGGGAATAACTTGTATTCAGCTAAAAACAAAAAACAAAAAAAGAAAATTGTAGATGAATAATATTGAATGTAAAGAACTCTTCCTTTTATTCTGCCAAAAAAAAGAAAAAAAGAAAATCAATTAATATTGCAAAGAATTGTGTTAAAGTTTCAATCACACTCAATCGGTTATCCTTTCTGGGTATGACGATAAACTACATCCGCGTCCAGGGTAAGAAGCTATACTACATCCGCGTCCTGGGTATGACAATAAACTACGTCCGCGTCCAGGGTAAGAAGCTATACTACATCCGCGTCCTGGGTATAAAGATAAACTAAATCCGCGTCCAGGGTAAGAAGCTATACTACATCCGCGTCCTGGGTATGACGATAAAATACATCCGCGTCCAGGGTAAGAAGCTATACTACATCCGCATCCTGGGTATGACGATAAA